ACAGACTTCGAGGGGAAGGGGGGGGGGGAGGTTAGTGACGCATCCGCCGATCGTCGTCGATTCGCCCTGACATTCGCCGTGGCTTTCAAGACGCGCGACCACGAGCGCGCGGGGAAGATTCATCGCACGAATGTTCCACGTTATTCTACACACCGTCTATACTTTTTTACGTTCCGCGGATTCCCCTCTCTTTTACACTTTCAATGAGCATCGTGTGCGTGTGAGAGAGTCATGCGGTTGAATCTACGTGTTAAATGCATACGTCGCGCGCGATGAAGTCGAACACTCATCCGTGGAGGACACTAACAGCTAATTGTCCAATATCATTTGTGAGCACTCGCACGCTCGGTATCGTAATAGTAGTAATAATAGTACTAATAGCAATAGTAGAACGGTAGTAGTACAATAGCAGTAAAATAGTATAGAGTAAAAGTAGTGGTGGCGGCGGTAGCGGTAGTAATAACGGTAGTTTTGTATAGACTCGTAGTAAATCGTCCGCTTGTTTTCTCTCTCTCTCTCTCTCTCTCTATATATATCTCTTTTTCTATGTCATAACTCGAAACGTGACTTACGGAATACTTTTAAGGACTATTGTCATCGTGATTGATTGAGAGGAGTTTCGATAATATTACTTAAGTTTTTTGTTTTCCCTTAACGAGGTTAATTTATTAGTCGTTTTCTCCTTCCACGTCGTGCCTCAACGACGCCTTAATCTCCTCTCCGGATCATATTGCACGCCAGTCTTATCCGTATATAAGGAATGTTATTTTATTTACAAAGCGGCATGTAACCGTACAGTTATAAGCCGAAGAAATTTCTCGAAATCCGTATAATTCGGATGCGTATTGACACGACCATCACAACGCTATATGTTCCTTTGTTTTTATACGTATACAACACCAATCCGCCGCGCAATTGTCCGTTGCGTGTTCGCGAATTCGGGAGACTGGACAGCGACGTGTTCACGACGTATGTTTTCTCGCTAAAGTGAACACTGAAGTACGCACTACGAGACTGTACTATTCGGAATACAGCGAATCGACCCCAACGTGCAGTATGACCGTAAATTTTGTGTTTTTCACGGGTCTCCGCGCCCGGCACACTCGAGAGAACTCGCCTCTTTCGTTGATACACACAAGTGTGACATACATACACACACACACACACATATATATATATATTTATATATATATATATATATGTATATAAATAAAAAATACATCAAACAGTGCGGAATGTCAAGTCCGCGGTAATTCGGCGCGAAATCGCGGGGTCGGAAATCGACGAGAATGCGCGACCGATCTCCGTTTCCGATTCCCGTATTACATTCCGCGCATTTCGCCCGGATTCGCGCGGCCTCTCATCGTCGATCTTACACAATGCAATAAATAAAGTTGTAGACGATAATACGAGGGAAAAAGAACACTCGACATAAAGAACAACAATAATGGCAGTGAATAATCTCCAAGTAAAAAATGTGTCAAATATGAACCCCCCCCCCCCCC